GCATTTTTATGCAGTAAAAACCCCTCGACGGACACAAATATAGTATCCAAATGGGATTGGAGAAACATACACATTATTTCTGTTGGTACCTACCTATAATAATAAATTTCTGCATCATGAGATGCCTGTCTCGAGTGTATTAYGCCATATCACTTATTAATTGGAGAATAATTCGTCGAGAAATCTTAGAGTCCAATATCATCGAGCCGTGGCCATTCTCAACGGACAAATAAAAAACGAAATACGTGAGAATASCCAGAAAATCCTATCCTATAGGTGTTATAAATGCAGTATAATAATGATACAGAATAGCAAAATACAATACTGTTACAGCCCTAAACACATCAACACGTGCAGCAGAACGCACACGAAGCTTATAAAATAATTTAATAGTATACACACAAGCACACAATACAATAAGTATAATAAATATATACATATATATATATAAGAAGAATTCGTATGTGCTCCGTCGTCGGCGGCGGCGTTTACACCATAAACATACAACTGAAACGGCATCGATTGGTGTGCAACTACCTACGCGGTGGGTGTGCTGCGGGGAGGGTGAGGGCAAAAAATTTAAGAGTTCCGAATGGGCACAAAAAAAATATATATATGTATATATTTATATATAGTCCGAATAAAATCCGACGATGTGAGTTCTAGCGAACGATCTTTATAACAGGGACTACGTTTACGGACGTTTACACAAGCGTCGTAAATCACGACTCTAGTTTTCGTTCGGAAATTTATATTAACGACACGCCATCGCCACCGGATTTTTCATGTGTAAATAATAATACTWTRGCGACTTCATCGTTCTCGGTGTTTGTTTATTTTTTTATATTGCACATATTTTTTTTATTATTTTTTTTTATTGTTACAGCATCAACTACAAGGTTATTATCTTCCAKTAGTAATATTTTAAGTTAGATTATAATATATAATATATTTACAATAGGTTAAAATTATATTAAGTTGTACATTTCAATTTTTTTTTTTTATTGCACATATTGTTTATTTAATAAATATAAATTTTATAATATTGTGTATTATTATCTACGATCGATTGTATTCGTTGAGGACTGCTACACGTGTACGGCGGCTACGGCTGAAGTTCGACAATGTTATTATCGTTGTAAATTTATAATACTATAATATTATTATTTTTATACGTGTACGTCATCTCATGTGTTTATATCTCTGTCCGAATACGCTGATTCGGCGAAAAATAAAACACATCGTGTTCACATCGATAAACTTATATCATATAATAATTGCACCGACGGCCGACCAAAGCCTAGCGTATATTTTTATCGAAAACATTTTTTTTTTTTTTTAACTACATGGGGTATGTGCTACAAGGGTGAACATCCCTTGAAAAAAAATGTGTACGGATTATCTCGCATTCCGTGGAATCGTGATCTTGAATAAGAAAAATCAAATACATTGAGATTAAATACGTTTTACACGACGTGTCMACACAAATTACKAAAAAATTATAATATTAACATACCAATTATAATATGAAAAAATTAAGCCACCGAACGGTTACACGCGAGTGTCACGGCGTTGGCCGCCAGCATTTYTGCAGGGTCGCGACTATAATAAGTACACAAATTATAACATTATAACTGGTGGATTTTTATTAGACATTCGGCATAAACATTTTAGATTTTAGTTGGTGAAAATGTTTTTCATATTGTGATGATATAGGTGTGAATCGATATTAATCACACATCGCGATGGTTGATATTCGTTTATTTTTTTTTTGCACTCTTTAAATTACTATATTTTCATAAATATTGTCACAAATTTTTGAAAAYAGTATTAAAATTATYTATTACCTACCGTATAAATTTATGATTTTTGGGGATAGAGAGAYGAAACRTTTTKTGATGAACCCACCACTCTCAAAAACAAAAAAATACATGAAACCCTTGCTCCATGACACGTAGGATTTACATTATGAATTTTTCTGTACATCAAAAAAACTTAGTTCTTATTTATACCTAGCATTATCTGATATGCAAAATGTCAAAAACTTACTTCTGTATCCCTAAATTTAGATGATTATTGTCAGAAAAACTTTAAAGAATAAAAAAAAATTTTTTTTTAATGTACATTTTGCGCTGAATTAGGTTGTCTAATGGCGTAAACGTTTAATTTTATCAATCGAATAACGAAACAACCAGAAAATTGAACAAAAAGTGTGTTTCATTTTCAAAAATTAAAAGAACTTGGCAAACAAATTATTGCTGTACGAATTCATTGCTTCCAKTGTGATCGTATCTCTATAATATTCGTTATTTATTTACTCAAAACGTAAAATAATATATTCTTATTTATTTTTAATGTTGAAGTCTTGGTTGATAATTTTTTTGAACGAATTATTTTACTTTTAATTTGCCACTAACTATGTTCCAGTAATGTTTGAACAAAATAAAATAAATAACCTATAYAGTATTTTTTTTATTTTTGTAATTGACAAGTTTCAATTACTACAGTTGATTAAGTAAACAAAAAGTATAACATATATATGTATACTTTCTTTTCTCTCAGAAAACAAATGACCGAGATAAAATGCATGAGAWAATCATGTGCGATTTAAAATTGAATTCAAAAACTAAATAACTGTAATAAAAACATGCTCATAAAAAATAATTCGAAAAATATYAGATTTTTATAAAAAATACAAGTTTTGTTATCATGACTCAATAATATTGTTCAACAGYTCAAATGTTCTGTAGACCGATTTAAATAATTGTAATTATTACAATATATAATAGTTAAGTCGACGAAACAATTAATTTTATCSAAATACTATAAACATTAAACTTATCAAACTCTTTAATTCTACAGACGCTAATTTTGATCACTTCGATTATTTATATTATAATATTATATGTATAGCCAACATTTTTTTTCTTAATTTCATTCATACTGATATTAATCGAAGCATAATATACGTATATGTATTATATAGTTGTAATTTATCGGGTTTTATATTATTTAATGATTAGTATACATATATATATATATATATATATAAATAATAAACTGTTGATAAAACTATAATTTATCTAAATTTAATACCAAATTAATTAGCATAATACACGTCTTAATCTGTAATTCGAGGCACCTACCAACAGTACCAACTCATGGATGAAATAGTTCTAAACTTACCTTGTGAACGATTTTAATACGCTTATATAGTTATATATTATTATATGATATATGTATAATAGGTATATTAAATATTTATTTTGTCGTTTGAACATAGCTTTGGTTCATTATTCAGACTATCCTTTGAGTTTCAAACTTCAATAATACTTTTAATTCGATATGTTAACAACCTGTGTTAAATAATAAATTTGAAATATGATTTAAATAACGAAATKTAAATAATATTGAGCGTAAAAACACGAATATTAAAGATGTATATTTTATTTAATCTAGTGTTTTGGGGTGGAACTTCAACCAAAATGACCAAATATTTTAAAACATAGAAGTACCTATAGGTTTAAAAGCATTTTTTTTTTGTTTTTATTTGATATAAATACCAACATTATATTTTACTRTACCTACCTATTTGAATCAATCATATAAAATATAAAAACAGTTGTATTGTAAATTATTGCCTGATAACCATATTATATAACATAATATAATGTTTTATAATAAGTTTTTTATAACTTTAATTTTTAATGTTCAGTCAATCAAAAAAATAAATAAAAAAATAAATAAAGTTTGCTAATTCACTCGAAACTACATAATATGTATATCGTTATTGCTGAACAAACTGAATTAAATCAATTTAAACTAATAATCGGTTTTGTTATTTGATCTAGTAATGATGTGGTTGATATAATATTACAAAACGAAAATTTTAACAATTACAAATAATATCTGAAGTATTCAAATCTATTGAAACGAAAATAACGTAAACTAATCGGCAATCACAGAGAAACGAACCACTTACCACTTCACGCGATATTTCGACCAAAACGAATTAAATTCGTCATATTTCAATAGATCGGGCTGTAATCGAGTAAATATAATTTTCCCTTTTACAAGAATCATTAACAGACCGTCCAATTTTCTTTAGCCGATGACGATTTATCGAACCCCCGGTTAAATCGTGTGAAGTCAAGTCTTTATTATTATTTTATATTACGAGTTTGGGCGAAATTACATTATTTCAATGGAAATAACTTAAATAACTACACCCTAAAGGACATGGTCGTTAAATTAAAAAATTCAATAATCCTGCCGGACAATTAATTATTACTGATACTGCYATTTATTATTTTCGTACACGAACTGTTTTCAAATGCAATATCGCGTAGTTAATGCACATAAGACTTAAATGTATAGTTATTAACTTTTATTTACCTTACCRCAAGTACATAACCTATATTATGTACGCGAGTAAAATGTACTTGGTAAAGGCCAGCGGTTCCCAAACTGTGAGGCACGCCTCCTTTGGAAGGCGCAATCAGTAATCACTTGACAAGGGAGGCGTAATAAAAAATGATTTTTTTTTTTAAATTAACAATACAGTTATATTGTAAGATTATACTTCATTCAACAATTTTCGGAAAGTCACTACAACTAGACTGCAGCGTTTCACATCTACCGAATATTGTCRAATTTTTYGCGCTTGCAGCTGTATYAAAATCAATATAACGGTCAATACTGAATGTTGAAGTAGAAATGCGTGTGGCTGTTATGATATTGCAACCTAATTTTGAAGAATTAGAGAACGGAAAACAATCACTTTGTTCACATTAAAATTAAATATTAATATTAATAGTCTTTGGTTTTTTTTTCATAAAAAATTAAAAATGTTGTAATCATTTAATAGAAATTTAATAATATATTTTTATTATTGATTTATTTTGTCATATAATAATAAAAATATTTGTATATTTAAATACTATAAATTTGTTTGTTATTTATTTATTCATGGGAGGCGCAATTTATTTTTTTATTTTTAGGATGGCGTAAGCTTAAAAAGTTTGGGAACCGCTTGTATAGGTTATATTGGAGAATGGGACAACTATAATACGTGTAGGACAAATTTACAGCCACCAGAGATGATAGTTCATAAAATCAATAACAAAAATCTACATCCTGCTGTTGTATCATGAAAAGAAAATCAAATCGATGACCATTACATTATTAATAACACGTGTTGTCGTCCAATAAAAATAAATAAAGAATAGGTATCTATAATATTTCTATCAGAGTACTATAATAACAAAGTAACATAATTATCGTTAGAGCACGTCACCGAGTTTTCATTTTGTGGTCCATATTATGTAAATACATACCTAAATGTAATTCTATAAATGAAAAATGAGCAAAATCGTCGCGAATCTTKTAACATTCCACAACAGACCGACAATTATATTCAGCATACAGCTATAGATTGTACGTTATATTCCAATCGATCGGCTGCGGCAAACGATAAATAAATCCACGAGAAAATATATTTGAAAATKTWCATATATTTTTTTAATGTCTCACTCGTAATATTTGAATCATAACAGCTCAGTACCTCAGCCATATCTTAATCGTAACAGCTCTGAGTATTTACTTCAGTACCTTATATACCTATACTGGCTATATACTTGAATACAATTATTTTGCAATTTGTGTTCAGCGCTCAAAGTATAGCACAGTAATTAAATCCGTCACTGCCTATAGTGCCTATACCGTCAATCACAAAGACATTTCACTTGGATTTATTTTTCTTAAATAATTTTTAATTTATATAATATATACAGCTATTATAGTATATTAAACGCACATGATATACATCAAATCAAATTATAAAYAGCTGCYTTGTTCGATTCTTTTATAAGAAATTAAAAATAGTAATGTCTCCAATGTCGGACTAGAGATGGTCCTGGACCCAATAAATGCCTATTCCAGATGTTATATACTCGAGTATTTTACATTTAAATGCGGCAGGTATACGAATTATTATGCAAACACCGTATCGTCGTCGGAGCATCACTTGACCACTCAAACAAACTCAATCATCGTCCGGACGCGTTCGCCGTTTGCCTAGATGTCTTATCGGTTTCGCAACATTAATTATACCGAAACAGAATTTCAATAAGCGCCGTAAACATTTGCACGTATTAAAATGTGAATAGCACTTATATAGTTATATTGTTCTCCGCATTCAAACACAACTTCTATACTAATACGATACACACCYTTGTCCMCTCGTCCATGTACAAAATAAAAATGATGAAAACACTATAATATTATTTWCGCCATCGTGCGTATCGCAGTTTTGACGCATAATAATGATGATAATTATTATTTAATACTGATTTTAATGAATTCAAGGAAGAAATTAAATTACTAAATACCATGACTACTTCAGTAGTATTAACTATGAAACTGGGTGTACTTTGATTAAGTGAAGGTGATCGTTCAACTGTTTTTAATCAATTTATATAATATTTGCTAGCTACTTATTATTATATAGATTTGTTTTTATTGATTAAACATTAAAATTAAAAATTAAATTCAGTTTTACATTTAAGTATAATTGTTTTGATTGAATTTGAATGTACGTTGAATATACCTTAAATAAATATATTTCGTACTGTAAAATATAATATGGGCTAAAAAGAAATATCGAGTGCATTTTTAGTAAACAATTCCCTACTGCAATATTAAACTATATAATAGCTACTAATTTGACAAAAGTTTAATCTCAACTAAAAGCTAAAGTAACAAACGATCGCTCTGTTAATTTAGCCGTACTGTTGTTTTATCATAAGGTTCATTGTAYATAAATAATTTATTTTGTTCAGAAGTAATATCACATTTTAGTCACCATCTGTCCATTCGGCTCGATTGAATTGTGTGCATTAATAACACGTATTTAGACACTGTACCTAGGTATASCTATGATTTGACGCATTTCGGAAAAATTCTCTATTGCAATCTTAACGCTTAAATTTTACGAAAACATAATACTATATTATTATTATTTATCAGTTATTACTGTTGTTGTTTTCATTGGGTTATGCAGCGTATCAAAAGTTTTCGTTTATTTAAAAAAAAAACCTAAATATACTAACAATACGTCAGCGAAATAATATCGGTGTACGTGTWATTGTCATATTATCGACCACTATAAATTTTTGTCATTAGGTAATACCCTCTATGCCGATAATTTAAAGATTAAAATAATCATTATCACAAGATATTGGTTTTGAGATTTTGTATGGTATACTTAGTAATTTTTTAATATATGAACGTGTTTTTTTTTGCGGGGATGGTCATGGGAAATTTATGGACATTGATTTAAATCTGATCGAGGCCGAATTACACACATTACACAAATTTGGGAATAATAATCCCTGTGGCAACATTTAATAGTCTATACTACGTTTACTTATAAGCCAAGTAGCGCCGAAGTTCTAAAAATCTATTAGAGCAAAAAATATTTCAAGAAGACCAATATCTGAACATTGGCAAAAATGGCGCACCATGCAGAAGAAAGTGTTCAATATGAAGCAGCCCCATCCTAMATTTTCAAAACATGTCGGGCTAACGTAATAGGGTTCGGCGCCACTGCTTATATAGCGTACATATATCTACTAGATACTCGTTTATCATRTAAAATATAATAATTTATTATATAATTGTGCATTTTACCATGGCGTAGTTTAGTGGTTGCGTGGACGTGACCGAAACCTGAGTCGCGGTCTCTCGCTGGTCGGTGACGTCCGGCTGCTCGGCAGTCGTCAGCAACGAGCTCAGGTGTGCTATGTACGTGGTGGCCAACCTCAGCGTGTCCAACTTCGACAGTTTGGTGTCGGCCGGCACCCAAGGCAGTGTCGTCTTGAGTCGGCCAAACGCCTTGCTGAGCACGCGCATCCGAGCCCTCTCCCTCGCGTTGGCAGCGTTTCTCGGACAACCGTCATCCAGCAAGTCCCGTTGCTGCTGTTGATGTTGCTGTTCCAACCACCAGTCTGGTCTGCGTCTGCCCATGTCACATCTGCGACAAAAATAAACGATCCTGTACTCTGTATTAATTTATTGCAATGTGACACTTTGACGAGTGAGGTGACATTTTATAGGAGGGGTGGGGGAGAAGAAAGTGGCACGACAAACTTATCATATATAATTTTTCGTATACCCTGGTTTATGTTCAATATGCACATATTTCATACTTCAATTAAATTTTAAATTTATTTTCAACGGCCATTTTCTTTTTTAAATCGATATTTAGCATTAAATGCATTACATTTTTTTTTTTTTGTAAACTTTACGGAGTGGTCGAACAACAAATGAAAATTTAATATATTATATCGAACCACACACGCAATTCTCCATTGACTTATAACACATATATCACACACACACAAGCATAAATATAGGTAGGTACTACCCTAATTCACCCTTCTACCTACGCAGAGCTTATATACTTTCATTACGAGTGACAGGAAAATTCGCCTCTGTATAATAAACTTGTCAGTTATTACACTGTCCTTTCTATGCTATTCACTCTCCAGTGGGCAACACAAACCAGTGTTGTTTTCGGTTTTAAATAGGAGTTATAAAAGTATAACGTATATTCATATTATAATAAGTACTCGAATTATAAAGCCAAAATTGAAAAAATAAATTTTTAATTGTACTCATGCTCTATATTTTTGAATTTCATCCGCGCGTTGTACGAAGTTATTCAATAGAGTATATATATATTAGTGTGCATGGGTGCATGTTAGTAATTTATAGTTTAATAATGTTTCCCATTTCCTATTACACTTTTATATGAGTCACATGATATATGTACATTTATAATTAAATTATTAAAATACTGTATAATGTTTATAAACATGAAAATTTTTATGCGCGTTCAACTGCAGTCAACTCTCTTAACTCTTTACTAATCCATCATCTATGAAAGATATTATTACATGCCCAAAACGAAATATTTGTTATTTTCAAAACGTAGAAATCTACCAGTTTTCTATCAATCAAAATATATATTCTATAAAATGCTATGTATAATTTAAACTCTAGGTACTAATTTTTTTTTTAATATCACTTTATCTTTGCATAATTATAATTTTAATACTTTGTAATATTGTCATAAGTTAATCACAATATTTATCGAAAAGTTAATGATCACATAATAATATGACGCATAATATCTAAGGCAAAGCACTGACATTTATCTGAATAAATGCAATTAATACTAAAAATACCAAGATTGAGTTATAGACTAAGCAAGACGTCCAATTAATGATTTGGAGATATAAAAAAATATCTRGRTCACAATAATCAATATCATTATCATCTTTATAATCAGTGATTGTTTGCGCCCATTAAAAACATTTYCACAAATTCAGCATTTACATATAAAGATTTTCAGACAAAAAGTAAAAGGATTTTAGCTGAAACCAGAATTGCAGGGCAAAACAAATAAAAATAATGAATAAAAAATAAAAACATAAATAATTTATCTATTTATGAATAATCGTAGTAAACTGAATAAAAATAAAATCATTCTAATTAGTTTTATTCATAAACAAAACAATTATTCTGAATAAATGTATTCGTTAAAATCATGAATAATGTGAATTTTTTTTAACTTGTGTATTATACTAATCAATGTACATGAATTGTGCCTTATCAAAACCTATATTTAGGTACTTAAATTGCTTGCCAACAGAAAATTATTATCGAATACTATTATAACTATTGTAAGCAAATTTGTAATTAAAYCACAGGAACAATAAAAGATAGTTTTAAATGTCAAATATGTATTACTTAAGTATAATAAATTTCTACGAAAAAATAATTTATATTTTTTTTACTATACATTTTTTGCAAATTTTAAAATACCGATAATTGAATTGTGTAAAAATTGGRGGAGGACTTAGCCCCCAGCTAATATAGTTGCGTTTATAGTTGTTKTTGAACAGRTACGAAGACGACATAATTTAAATTACGACCAATATTTAGGATTTAAATTTATTATTTATATGATTATGGGGAATAATGAATAATGAACAATAGAACAATAATAAAAATAAAAATAATAATTTATAATAAAATGAAGAATAAATCAATGAATAGTAATTTTTTATTCCAATAATGCCCAACTCTGGCTGAAATTAAACAACGTAAATTGAGTGTTTTAAATATATAAAAAATAATATTTTGTCCGATTCTATTTTTCTAAAAACAAATTACCCATTCAAAATAACCGTCCTCGTAAAATGATTTTGTAAGAGGGAACCGGTACCTTGGRTATATACAGTTAATATATTGTATACTTTCAATTATTATTTATTAATAGCTATTATAATACTGTAATCCATTAATGTTTTTATTTCATTTTTTYATAGATTATTTTATTTCTCCATGTTCTTTTCCCGGATGTTTTTCACATCTAAATAATATTTACTCTATTATTTAGATATAATATATTCATATATRAAAAATGCTTATAAAAAAAAYCTCGGACGTTTGGCCAGTGTCCATTGCAGTATTTAATATAAGTACAACTATTAGGAGCCAGTTTACCAGCTTAAAATATGATTTATTATAAGAAATATTTTAATAACCTATCATAGGTATTGCAAATCGCAATAATATCGTCTTTCRCGGGAACGCATTTCCTGTTTAAGCGGTCATTTCGATACACTGCTCACCYTAAAATATATATTTTTCAYCACTAGCTGGATTGCACTTKATYGCGAATTTAAATTTAATARGTATATTGCATGGAGATAACTAAAGTTACAGTTAGCAAAGGGATACACATTATGTTGACTTAAACCGTATAGGCCAACGACCATGGCTAATGGATTGCACATCAGTGGTACGATGGTACAGAAGAAAATGRGAGGCAATTGATTTTCGTGAAATCCGACGTACGTATTTTAACGACAAGTTTCTATTGGAATTCACTATTGATTGTTATAAAAATGCAAAAACTGTAATATTTTCATGTATATTTATTAAAATATAATTAATTTATAATTGCAAAATACATTTGTTGTTGATTTTTAAAATAAGACGAGKACAAAATCGATACAAATAGGTAAGATAAATATTATTATATTATTATGTATATTATGTAAATTATGTGGGTAACATTTATTATCTACACCACGTCTATCGACCAGACCAGCAGAGTTCTTAAGTTGTACAAAATGAATTTGGAGCAGCTGTGTGTGTGGAATAAATGAACAGTGCAAAACCTACAGTTTTTAAAGTGAACCTATATAATGTTTCAAACCTATATAGCAGGGATGGGCAACTCAAAGTAACTAGCGGGCCACTTTTAAGTACTTTAAAATCTAGCGGGCCGCAGTGCATAGGAGAAAGCAAAAAAAAAAGGTCCCTTAAATTTACTAACTAACTACTTATTTTTTATCTTTATTTATTTACATTTACAATTATAATTACTAAAAAACACGAAAATAATAGTACCTACTAACGGCGTAGCGGTGTAACACTACGGCCGCGGCAGTACGGATATGACTAAACCGATAAAATGAAATAAATAGTATGTTAGCTGGGCATTATAAATATATATTTAGACATTTAATAATAATTTGGTTTCGGTTTAAAACTAGGTAAGAATTTATATCCACATTTTATCGAAAAATGTAATAAAATAAAATAAAATACAGATAAGCYCTAAAATTATACKAAGTAATTTGAAAATTTAGCGCGGGCCASATAAAAAAGGTACGTGGGCCGCCAGTTGCCCTGCTATAAAGTATTACGCGTACAAACGCGATGCAACCGACGCAAAATGATGTACCTACGCAGAGTGCATCGAAGTGTTATATTCAGTGGCGCCGAACTCAATTTAAAATGGGGTGGCGGGGTGGCCAACTAGTAAAMAATTAGCAAGTACCCACCCACCAAGAACCATTAAATTAAACCTATGCGGCTATACCTCAATGTTATCATCAGACAACATGCATGTAAAATATTTTAGTATTTGTACAATTATTTCAAATTTTTGTCAAATTTTTTCTGTTAGATATTTACCCATCTGCATAACAGGACCCACCACCTTAATTACCTGCAACAACAACAACAAAAACAAAAACAACAATAGTAATGACAATATTGAAAAAAGTTAACAGGTGGGTGTGATAATAATATGATAATATGTATTATCTAGGTCTGATTGATTACCATGATGATGTCTTATAACAATAATAATGGCTTATTGCTCAGTGACGAGAAATAAAATGCATTTTCGCCGCCGTGAAACAATGCTACTCGCGGTCGTGTAACACGTGTGCTGCAGTATTCCACTCTCTTTACGGTCTCGAGACCATTTTGTTTACGGTAAACCGTGAGAACCCTTTCTTCTTTCGACATCCGTTTGCACACACGTTTGTGCATTTCACGTCCACTGCGAAGTCATWGAGTTTATGAACAACAATTTCACTGCAGAACACTGGATTATTATACAACCGTCACACCTGCAGTGCGTGATGTTAAACTATTATGGAGGTATAGCTACCATCGCGAAACGTTCGCCGATTTACCTATATATTATTTAAAARTATTGYGATATAAATCTCGATACGAATACCGATAAAATACATCACTGTGTAGAAACGTGTACCGTGTCTTTGACAACCGTATACCATGTTTGGCGTAGGTAGGTTATACCTGTCTATAATACCTACGACCTACCATATTATATTCATAACAGTATAAGCTGGTGCGCGATTATGATAATAATAATATGCAAAACTAGTTTTTCAAACACCACTGCTCCCAATCATGACGTAATAATATATGAACGTGAAAAAATWTTAATTTTGAGTTTCACAAATGATATTTATTGGCTTATAGGACTCGCGCATTTTCTAACGACCATTTACTAAAATGTGTTCTCAACATCAGCAGAGTACAAAATTTTGTATAATGCGTTTCTAACTGCAATAGCTCTAAATTATGAGGTTTATGGATGTACCTACGCATAACAAAAATATTTATAGGCATTGTATAGATCACAAAATGTGTCTCGATAAAATGGTTTTTAGACGTCAATTTTCATCATGACAGAAACACGCATTCACAGACTTGAGACTTGCTGAACATCGTCAAGCAATATTTTTGCAAATTATTTAGTAAATAAAAAACACGTCGTTCTATATTAATATTGTTTAATTGATACTGGCGTGTTATCTACATGTGGTTCGTTCAGCTATGATAATATTATGTTCGAAATAGAATTCGATAGAACACACAAAAAGCCGACAAACAAAATTATTTTTACCGATCATCTTCCGTTAAAATAATAGCGTTTCCATTGCCACTGAAACGTCTTGAAAAATATTCAATTGTGTTATTACTTTTTAGTTTAACTGTGTTCTTATGATAGTTTTCTGAACTATTTGTCGATAAAATATTTGTTCCCTTCCCTTGTCATACAGATATTGATACTTTTCTCCTAAGTGAAAGTTGTTCGACCGGTAAATCAACAGAAGATAAATATTTCTCTGATAAAATAATACTTTATAAATTAATTAAGTCTTATTGATACGTGTTAAATACTCTTATAGACACAATATTACCCAAAGAAATTCGTATTTGTATAAATTTACTTTTGTTCGTATTAATAATCTACATTTTGCAATAACTAGATATTAATATCACCAAAGTAGTTTGTCTAAATACGCATAAATAAATTACTACACCAACTAAGTATATCAAACTTCAATAAAATAGAAATAAACTGTAGGTATAGTAGGTATTATGATTCGTAATTCGTACGGCTTATTATTTCAATAAGTTTTATTGTGAATATTCCACTTGATCTATTACATAATATCATTTGTTACATAATAGTTATCAATCACGCAAAAGTCTAAAATCTCGTAATCTCATAACGTCGAGTTTTCTATTAAAATATCATCTGATTTATATGTAGTGGAAATTGAGGAAAATTTTTTGTTATCTGATTATCTAAAACCAGTTTTGTAAAATTATTTTTTAAACTTTAATACTTTATTGGTGGGTATATACCTACAATACATATGTTGGGATAAAACGTCAGTTATTATAAGATGCTAAGGTTTGGTTAATATCATTAGCTATGCTCATACATGTAGATTGTAGGTACCTAAACTTAATAATTCAATAATTGTAATACACTATCTAAGATACTTGAACGTACGCCAAAAATAAATTGTTTAACTACAAGTTATGCGAAATAATTCTATAAAACATAACAAAACAAAACGTACATAGGTGTACCTCTACCTATACATTTTCTTTAAGAGTCATTAAAATTTACTAATCTGACCTTCATATCAATACAGTTAACAAGATATAAGAATCTATATATTAGTTTTTCGCATGGTTTGAGCACGAATAATTAGAAAAGTGAATTGTTGAAATTGTACCTATTTAAAAAATGATATTTAAACATGCAACTTAATATAAACGACTGTATTCCTTAATGATTAATAATATTTATTTCATGTATATACATCACAAAATATATGGGTAGGTACTTCAGTAACTTTCAAATAAACTGTTAGATTGAAGGTTTAGAATTTATATATATATTATTATTTATTATTATTAGTTATAACGGGTTTAACAATAAAATCACTAGCCAGAAAAGACATTTTAAGTAATAAGAATAATATTAATAATAATTATACATCTGAAAAAAAAATTTAAATTTGGTTGTACAGTTTAGGTTTTTTTTTAAGGAAATTTGTTATTAGAATATAATTTAACTTATAAGTGTACGAATATTATAGTATACGGCACATTGTTTTGTTAAATTATCACATTGTTAATAGTCAACAAAATATTTCATGAACCTATACTGCAGGATCAATCCTTTCACGATTTTTTTTTTTATTAATCTCATAGTCTTATAATATGAAAAGCAAAAATGAACGCACATCATACTGATAATAAATTCCAAGTTATACATCTATATTATTATAAGTTATAACTCATAACTATACGTGAGCATGTGGTTCATGGAACTTACCGTAAGTCATTAAGCGTATAAATTATTATCAWTGTSATTGTGATATATTATTTAGTGCTATGGTACAGTAAATATTATTTTTTATTGTTATTTATGTTTACGTAATATTATAATAAAATCATTGACATAAACATAATAAGTTAACAATGAATATAATATTTACTTATAGGTATTATATTCATTATGCATATACCTTTTTGTTATGTTTAAAAATCGAGTTTTTCATTAAATAATTAAAAAATGTGTAGAACTGTACGAAAGTTATCAAACAATATAGTTGTTATTTTTGTTTAGTTTTTATGTAACATTCAAATTTTATCATACAATTTCGAATATTAAAATGCATTAATTAATTTTAGAATTGTACTTTTGTAAAAAAAAATAATAAATAAAAATAAGTATATTTTAATTAAATCTTTTTATCGACTTATTAGTAAATTAAGTAAAATGAACATTTACAATATATGATAGATTCTACATCTCAAGCAAATAAGATAGTTTTTTAATATAACCCAGACAACAATTTCTTAATAATAATAATTTAGGTAATAATATTTTGATCTAGTTAATTTTATAATGTTTAAAAATTAGCGCATCTCAGAATTTTGTATACATATATATTAACTCATAGTATATAAGTAATATTTATCAAATTTAAATTATCTTCTGTGTGATATTTTTTGTAGGTATAAATTATGTTTCACTATAATAGTATTATAAACTAAAAAATTTTACCAAAACGATTTTGCATAAAATAAAATAAAAATATATTGTATTTTTATAATAAATTTAACATTATACTATTTAATATAATATATAATAATAAATGATTGTATTCGTATAAAAAAGTCATATTATCTTACGTTCATGGTCATTCCTTTCGTGAATAGATGTTTATAACATAATATTAATCTAATACAAAATATATAGAATATAGATATTATAGTATTTAATAGTGTGTAATATTAAATTTTAATATTCCGAGATATATGTATATACTTCTACAGATTATRTCTTTCATCATTAACATAAAAATGTTGTTTCATGAAAATAAATAAATAATTATGTATCCATAGGATTACAATAAGGATAATCTATAGTTATTAAACAATATCGTAATAGTTATTACTTATTTCCTTACCAAATAACCATATGAAATATGTTTACAACAGAACTACTACCAATATAAAATAATCTTTGTAATAATAAACAATTTGTAAATTAAATTAACTAACAACTATTAAAGGGTAAAACACTCTCTAGTCGAAACATCTATAAAAATATGTTTACTTGATAAAAAATTACTTATACACATTTATGTCTAATAATATATAATATATTTTATTTTCAAAACTTGAACTAATGCATTTTTTTTAAGTTAGACTTAAAGCTAGGTTAGTACAAAATATATTGTATTTCTATACAATTGAATACACTTACAATGAATTTTCCGCTCGGAATCCAACAGCAAAATTAAACATACTCAGGTTCCAAAAGAGACTCTACGCTACTAAAAATAAGATGTTTCAGATTTAATGCGATGGGTGGAGTCTCGGTGAATACTCAACAAAGTGTCTACCAATAGAACATGGYTAGAGGAGGATTTTGTTCGTTTTAAATAGATACCTACCCTGCAGTAGACCAGAAGAGTTTATTTTTGTCCACATGTGTGTGTTAACCGTAAACCGAAGGGCCCCCCACAAAAGAATGTCGTGGTCTAAATGTAAGCGTACCAATGGAAAACGTGATAAAACGGATACACTATACCGGATAAGAGTGAAAAAAAAACACTTAACAGAATTCATTTTTTGAAATAACATCTAAAAACTATTGATGAAATATCATAAAAAAATCCTAAAAAATTAAAGTATATTGATGATAGTCGTATAATCACTAATTAGTAGATTTTCGGCGGGGTAAGTTATTATATTAATATGCAAGTGTATCTGAATTATTGTTAGAACTATTGTGATATGTTGTAGAAATAGCAGTACTTAAATTGTTTACAACCTTATATTGTAAACAAAACAATTATGACCGTATAGTCAGTATCAGCGCTATCAACGATGTCGTTATCTAACACCAATGTATATAATTATGGTAATATGATGGGTGTCAGACACAGTATAAAAAAAAAATACTAATAAATCTAAATAAATCTAAATAAAAGCTAAATTTTTTAACTTTCGATTCATAAAAAATTGTATTTATAATATGTGTAAATGATGTGTAACAGTGTATAGTAGTGCTATAGTAATAGTTCATTCATATAACTGTGGAAAAATATTATGTATATAGTGACCTACCATTACCTACCGTATACTAATATATATTGCATAATAAATGCATAAATGCATCTGCAGTTGCAAGTCGACACATAAATAAAAGATAAAAAAAAATCATAAAATATTAATTGATAATTAAATCATCAACTTAATAATTATAGCTAGTGATAAAAATTAAATGAATGCAATTAAACATGTAGATACTTACTAAAATATATTTCCAAAGTTTCTCGGTTGGCAAATTGAAACGGATATGTAAATACTGTCAAAACGACAATATGTTAATCTTCAGCATTTCGCCCGATTTCGGTATACATTATCTAAAAAGTTTGCAATTCTTATACCGAAAGACATTTTTCCAACTTAAATCATCATATGGCGGATGGACTTAAATTAAATTTTATGTTCGTTCAGAATCTAAAATCTCTGATAAATATGAACCATATTAGGTATTTATCGTATAGAAATCTGTAACTAAATACATTTTAATTGTTAAGTATATATATACAATTAACAGGTATGCAGATATGATATTGATTGCGCGTACAAAATTAGGTGCAGTTATATATATACCGTATAAACGTAAACACCCGAGTATTATGTAAATCAGGTAAACAAAAATGTAATCGGCTCGGAGGCAATTTCAACAAGTAAACACGACATCAGTGCAAATATAACCTCACGCAGTATAATAATTCAATGCGCGGTCGGTCAACACAACCCCATCGCCGACGAATAGTGGTGATTTGATTTCTCGACAATTATTATAAGTGAATGCTGCGGTGAATGCGATGATACGTCTCATACTATCCTCCGTAGTCCACCATAACCACCACAAAATTGTATATGTTCTTAACGGTATGAGATTTTATTATTATTATATTATCATCGTCGTTAGCAGCTATTATTTATCTATACGGACGTCTTCGTGTGTGRATAGCAGCTGCTACGCTAAATAGTCATCGTTATATTGAAATGAAAATTTTAAATATGACACCTAGCTCATCGTCATCGCCGGCGAGAGAGGGTGGTTTGGGTCATCGGTCGTATTATTTTAATAGGTACGACTCAGACATACGATTAGGGGTCTGCGCCTAAATAAATAAAACTGTTCCATCCGCTGCAGACTATGTGCAGCAGTGCAGTACCAYATTACCCTGTAATCAGCGTGTGTCACGCAGTTCGTCTACTCACTATTAATCTTGCATTCGTTCCACTGCTGCAGTGTCAGCGATTTTACTCCAAAAAGTAGATTTATATTTTTTCGTTTTGTTTTTTTCTCATTCCACCATTTATCATTGGACACGACTACGCGGTTTGGTGTGCAGCACGAATACGAAAAGAAATACGATACATATATAATATTTCATTGATGATACTTTTGTGYGAGTTGCTCTTGCGTTGTTCAAYATATTATTTATAATGTGTATAACCACTCAACAGTGCGATTTTTTCGYGATAAATGAATTAATATCATAATCCAAAAATACKTTMAAATCGAGAGATTACTRTGAAATGTCTTCAATATTTGAACCTTTCTWTGYCCTTAATGGGGGTGTCCKTGTATTTTTTAAATTTGTGTATTTACTCTAAATAAGTATAATGCAAAGAAGTTAACTAGGTTATAAATTATAATGTAACAACATAAGACAACATGTCATCAAAAATATCTCAAAAAGCTCAATATCTCATATTCATAAAATATTATTTTAATA